TAAATAGTAAATTCTAATTTTTTTAACTATTTGGGCTGGTATTAGATTAATTAAATAATTTAGTAGAAGAGGGACAATGGTAGAATCATATTATCTTCTCTCTTTTAATATCACTTTTTAATTATTGGTTGGACCTAAATGTTACAAGATAATAAACTTCAAGAAAAATTAGTATAATTTTCAAAACTTGCGCGGAGGCCAGTGAAATAGTCAGAAACTTTAGAGGAAGTCTCTTAAATTGTCCCTAAAAGCATTATTTTACAACCAAAATCATATCCAGTCAATTTGTAATTGTACCCAAAAATATCTAGTACAGTAAGCTGTTGCCTGTCGAACTTCCTACTAAGAGTCAATTAGTAGATACCATAAATAAAAAAGGAAAATTAACAAAACAAAAACTGAAAGGGTCCAACATGTTTGTGCATGCACGTGCATAAGAATATCTCAAACCACATTTGGAATGAAACACCTTCAGTAGGAAAATGAGATCAGGAATGATAGCAGATTTTGATGATTGAAATTAAAGCAGAAACAGCAAAGAACAGCACTACGTGTAATGAGTTGGCCATGTTGTGGTTATCGAAACCACGTCTTATTTGATTGGTCCATTGACATAAATTTTGGTCCAAACAAGCCTGCATCATTACAACACATGAAATGTACGTGTTGGAAAATTTGGGAATTAAATATTGTAGCCTCATACTTTGTATTCGTTGTCATTTCGGTCCGTTATGTTTTAAAACTCGCATTTGAGGTATTGTAAAACTTCGTGTGGGATTTTAAAAATTTGATATTGGACCTCTAATTATTGTAGATAAATTTAAGTTAAAGGGTTTTTCTAAAGGATGCCCTTAGGGTACTTATTAACACATAGTATTCACCTAACCTATTATATATATATATATATATATACATACATATACATATTAACAATTATTATCTTCTCTTATATTTATATACCTTTTCTATTTAATCTTGCCTACCCTCTCATGTATTTATTTACTTTTTTAAAATTAATTTTATAGTTTAAAAATATAACATTTGAAATATATCTTAACGAGTGCATTAAGGGTACCAGTTAGACAAATCCTAAGTTAAATGCCAAATTTTATGTATGGGTGAAACCGAATTAATTTAGAAACAAGGGTTCTTGAAGAAGCCAAAGTAGCTCATCTCATCAAACTCCAATAATGCCTCCTACATATGTTAAAAAATCCAAGAGTTTTGAATAAGAAAGTTACAAAGATTTTTCCGCCACGGTTCCATTATCAATTCTTTTCCCATAGTATAATAAATTTATTAGCCAGATTTTTTTTTTTCATGAATATTCCACAAAGATCCGGGCGTATCCAATAATTAACCTTAATACATATATTATGGATTAGTCCTTGTCTAAAGTCGTAGAATGGATCAGGTGAGGACCCAAAGTAAAACTGAAACTAAAACTGGTACCTTATTGTTTTTGCTTTTTTTTTTTTTTGTGTGTGAAAATTTTTTAAATTGGAACAACCGAGAAACGAGGAACAAATGCCCTTGCACACGCTGGTTTAGATCCTGATCTCAACTGAAACTCATCCTTTAGGACTCCAAAACACAAACCAAAACGCTCCTAGAGATTGAAGAAATTTAGCCTAATTTTAGGGCTCAACATCTAATTACACAAAGGTAAATAGATAAAGGGTTTTTCTAATGGGTGTCATAGGGCACTCGTTAATACACTTAGAGTGCGTTTGATAAAACTGAAATCTGAAATTTGAATTCATTTAGTCATTGAATTGTTAAATATTAAATTTAATATATTTTAAAAAATATAACACCTAAAATATATTTTAACGGGTGACCCGTTAGACAAACCGAATAGAACATTGTTGTGATATCACATATGCCATAGTTTATGTAATGCACCTAATTACTGTATAAGTAAAAGAAGTATTGTCCATGACCATCTCCTCCTTTTCGTACTAAGATGGACAAGTTACTTAGCATGTCATGCCTATGAATTGAGTAACACAATTTGTATATTTGAAATATTTGCATCTCTAAGTAATCCAATCATATATTCTGAAAATTTTCTACTTGATACAATTTCTATATGCCTAGTATATCTATGTCGAATAGAACTACGTGTGTGCATCATCTATCACACTTTAAAATGCTGAAAAAAAGAACTCAAAAATTCAGAATTTATAAGACTATCCTATTTCATATGTAACCGGATTTGAAGAATCCTTGAAATGGCTAACAAGTGTGATTGATGCTACGTGTCTTATATGATTTGGGAAAGGCATTTTAGTAAGGATTGATTTTTCTTGAATATTTAGAAAATGCTTTACACGAGAAGTCTAGATTCGTGACATGCATAAAAAAAAATAAAATAAAATAAACAAATAGCACATATTTGATAGAGACGATTAAGGGCACCACATAATTTAAGTTCAAAATTTTCTTTTTTCTTCCTTCCCAAGTAGGAAAATGTTTTTATCTTCTGCAATAAAACAATAGTACATAAATTACAAGGTTCAAGAACTAGGATCCTACGTATATCTTCAAGAAATTAATCACAGAAGATGACTTGGAAGGCTCTTCTTTCCCTGCGTGAAACTAATATCTGAAGGTTAAAAAAAAAAATCTGGTTATGCTGTGCTATATTTTTGTGATCTTTCTTCTTCTTTTCTTTTCTTATTAATTCAACTTGCTAAACAAGATATACTATAAGATAACTAATATTTCATAATGGAGTTCTTGTGGTTGAGGCGAATGGAATAGAATGAGATAAAAAAGAAACTAAGAGGCAATCCATCTTAGTGGCAAGCAAACCATCTAAGTGATGTTGCTTTATAAATATCTTGATTTGTGCTGTAAACATCATATTTTGATTACTCATGAGTAGTACTGAACATTCCTGCAACTTGTTTAACATCTATGGATGGTCCTCATAATTATCTTTCTTTTATTATCTCAATTTGCCTATTTTTCTTTCATGTGATGTATATTGTTTCCTGGTTTCATATGTTTGTCAGTGAAATTACTCAATTTATTTCATTTCTTTTTCTATCTTTCTTTCTTTCTCAATGTTTATTGCATTACTTGAACCATGTTAAATGGGATATTTAAGTAAATAATGACATTATCAATTTGCTATTCTGGCGACTAATCATTTGTTCTTGGTCTTCAATTACAATTGTAATACTCATGTTAAACGACAAGCTTGTCTGCATGAATTATTCCAAACCAATGATGATATTAAAATAACATTTACAAAAGTTAATGAAATATAGCTACTAAAGCAGCAAACGAAAAGAGGTACGTCAATTCCAATTTATGGTTTATAATTGGGCATCCGACGAAGGCGTGATACCTTATCTCTCTAGACTCCACGTCTTCAGAGGTTTGAGAATGGTGCATTGGAAGTAGGCATGGCCATGGTTCCATTTGGAACCGGGAACCGGACCGGAACCGGACCAGAACCGGAACCAGAACCGTGGAACCAGAACCGTAGTAGAACCTTGGATAAAGGTTCCGGTTCTGGTTCTCTAAAAAATAGAACCAGAACCAGAACCGCCGGTTCTAGAACTGTTAAAAAAATTAAAAATAATTAATATAAAAAATAATAAAAGTAGAGACATCATGATGATCATCATGATCCACCACAACCTTTTGACCAAGCTCTCAACGGATCCAAGAGGAAAAAATTGCAAAGAAGGGCTCGGAAGAAAAAGCTTGTATTCGAAGAGAAAAAAGGAGCTTCTTCAATTTTTGCTCTCGGGGGCTCCTGACTTGCACAGAGGTCCTCGAGCTCTCAACGGAAGAAAGAAACAACCATACGGAACCGGAACCGGAACCGGAACCGGAACCATAAAGAATAGAAATCAGAACTATGCGGTTCTGGTTCTACCTCTTTGAAGAACCAGAACCGCCGGTTCTGGAACCAGAACCAGAACCATCTTATATGGTGCGGTTCTGGTTCTACCTCTTTGAAGAACCAGAACCGGCGGTTCTGGAACCGTTGGTTCTGGAACCGTGGCCATGCCTAATTGGAAGGCTTGATCTGTTGTAAGGTCTGTAATCCAACGCTCAGGGAACTAGCCAATAATATTCGAAAATATCCTTTTTTTTTTTTTGGGTAAAAAAAAACCCCTACAGGTTCCTAGGAAACAATGGCAGATCTAGTGGGAGCGGGGAGAGCGGATTTGCGGTAAGAACAGTCAACAAAAAAAAACCGTCCAGACCGATTTGTGTATTTTATACAAGATGTAACTCAATTTACACACAATATAACTTACTTTGCATAACGTGTAATTATAGAATAACATTTTGTGGGCTCACACATGATATAAAAAACGATGTAAAAGATGAAATCTAGATCTTACATTTTTTTTTTTTGCCATTAACCTTCTAGAAGGGTTGCTTGCCCTAAATCCGGGGAGAGTACCCAAGATTTCAAAAATCTTTTTATAACCCTTTAAAATAATAAAAAGTTTTACTTATATCTTAAGAAATATTAGATTTTGTTCCCCCAAATTTTTACAAGTCCTTTAACATCCCTGTAAAAACTTTAAAAATTATCTATGTAAATCTTAGGGCTTGCCCTCAAAAATTTTCCAACATATAAGGGTTCCTTCTTAAATGCACACCTTTACTTTCCAAAGTATTAGGAGAGTCATTCTTGCGTAACAGGCGGATCATGGTCCTACAAGAACCACTTTTGGAAGGATAATATACAATAGAATAAGCCATTAGATCTCACATTTAGAAATCCAAAATGGTTAAAGCAAATATGTGAAGGGCAATGGTTCTTTCACGCCTTCAAAATTTCATGAGCCCCTAGCCCTTAGTAGCTCTTGATTCCTGTTTTTTTTTTTTTTTTTCTTTTGGGTTCTATTGAATAAATGTGTCAAGAAAGTAAACAAGCTAGTTAATTAAATCATAATATGAAGGAATAGAATGCAACATATTTCACATCACTTGCCATCTACATTGGATCTAGTCAAAAACGTAATTTGTGTATACCTTGAAGAATTTAAGAATTGGGGATCATGCTCTAATACTAATGAGTAATGAGTACAAAATTTCATCGTTAAGGTTAAAGGTAACAACGAAAGCGTGATATATATACCGCACTACAATGTTCACGCTTTCATTTGGCATACTAGAAGCAGCATGTGGAAACGTGACATATGACCCTCTAATTTGTATGCACGCCTTATATAAATTGGAAAAGCGTTACGAATTATTAGTGTTTCTGACCCATAAATGATGTGAAAAATGATATTATTGGAACATTGTCAGCCTCTGGTTTTGCTGCCTCTTTTTTCTTCTCTTCCGAAGTTTCAGTTTTCTCTTCTACATTTTTGTCCAGTCTTTGTTGGCTTTCGGCCTCCGTTGCTGGTTTTACCTCTTCTTTTTCAAGCTTTTCAGGACCAGCAGTTTCTTCCACTTCAGATTTCACCTTTTCATCTTCCGTAGAGTTTTCCTCTTCTACAGATTTTACCTTTTCATCTTCTTTAGAGTTTACTTCTCCAGATTCTACCTTGTCATCTTCTTTGGAGTTTACCTCTTCTTCAGATTTTACCTTTTGATCATCTTCGGAATCTTTTACTTCTCCATTCTGCAATACAATATGAACATAAAATTCTTTTAATTTGTAGTTTCTCTGAAATTAGTAGCTTCAAAAAAAAGAAGGAAAATAGCAAAAGATCGTGTCTGTGTTTATGGCTGCATTCATGCATATGCAACAAATTGGGGAACAACGGGGGATGCCATCCCCAAATATTGGCATTTTAAGGATTGCGGATTCTCTAAGGTTGCAGGTGCAACTATAGAAAAGTATTTAGGGGTTGATTTGAATTTTAAATCAATGATCGAGATCAGCCGTCTCAACTCAAATGAGTTGATCTTGACCGTTAAATCCTTTAAAAGTTCTTTATTATTGCACCTACCGTCACAGAGAATCTAGATCTGCATATTAGATCCCCGTCAAAAACCTTAAAAAATTTTCGTGAAAAATTAAATGCATTAACGCGAACATGAGAACGACTAGGCAACCATGGGGGCATTGCCTATAATTATTTTGAAAAATATCGATAAGTAAACATTGCGAATATAGCTTCTTATTAGTTATAACTCCCAAATAAAAGAATTTCTATACATATAGAGTGGGCAAATTCTTAAGAAATCAACCATGTTCGACATGTTTACTCGTTGACAAGCAATTCAATGTGTTTATATATCGTATATGAAAGTGTATGTCAATTCTTAATAATAGAAACGTGATAACATAACTTAACGAGATTAATTTTGATACATCACAAAACTAAATATTTTTTTACACTAACAGATTTAAATGAATGCCATGACACCGAGTGCCATGCATTTGTACGTATATCAAAGTTTTGTTTTAATTGTGATGTTGAGTACCTTATTTTCAACTCCATCAACCACCGCATTGAGAGCCTCCTCCTCCTCCTTTTCTACCTTTTCGGATGCCACCGGTTCTGGAGCCTCAGCCACAACCTCCTTGTCCTCTTCCACCGCCTTTTCGGGTTCCTGTTGAGGTGCCAGCTCCGCGGCGAGAGTCCCCTTCTCCTCCACACTCACCTTCTCAGGTGCTGGCTCAGGTGCCTCAACCCCATCATCCTTCAACACTTTTGGCTTGCTCGTACAGCCTCCCATTTTCTCTCCTTGAATTTATGAATTGAAATTCTTGCCCTTCTTTCTATATATTGCGAACAATATATTGCATAGAAGAGCTGGCTTTGCCAAAGCCAGAGAGAAGATGGAGAGGCTTTCTAGTTTTTTGTTGCTAGGAGATGGAAAGAGGAGAGACACTTCTTGATCAAGAAAAGGCCTGAGGAAAAAGGGTTTTTCGGATAGTACTTATTAGGGAACGCCTCAACTCAAACTTCTTAGTTTGTTCCGACATTCGTTCTGTGGCTTGGAGAGATTCCTGTGTCACTTCACAATTTTAACAAGTACATTGGCAGAAAATTAGATATTGAGTAATTTTTCTTTTAAGAAAAATTATTGTTTTCTTAAGTAATTTACTAGCTAAATCCCTTTTATAATTTTTCGAAATGGAATTATTTTTTGGTCAATATGGTTGCTGTGATACATGCAATAATATAATGCTCTCTCACAAAATTTTTTTTTTAAAAATTTTTGGTGAAAGTAATGTCCTCCCACAAAGATAGGCAGAAGAAGTTACGAATATAATTTCTATACAATTAAATAAAAAAATCACAGATTAAATACTATTCAGGGAGGTGTAAACTTCATTTTTATTCGGCAAGAATAAATAAAATTCCTTTGTATTTTATGGGAATAAATTTTTGATAGAAACTGTCCACTTTTAAAGCCGTTACTTTTTACTATTTTTTGACACGGACTATTTAGGTGACTAATAAAACTCATTTTTACTTGACAAAAATACATCAAATTCCAAAAATTTATTTCTTCAGCCATTCAAAAGTCTAGTCTCTAGCCTAAACTTACCATTCATATTTTCTGGAATTCAATTCAAGTTTCTAACCAAGCCAATGCTTTGGTCGAAGCATTTTCTTTTTTTTTTTTTTTTTTTTTTGTATAATCCACAGGTATCCGCATCCGTTTTACGGTTTGCGACTAATCTTGTTCGAGCCGGATCGGGCCCCATAAGAGTAGCTTCCCCGACATCACCCCGGCCCCATAGGAGGGTAACTCTCCCAACGTCATTTTTTCTATCTCCATGAATTTCGAACCGAGATCTCATGGTTAAAGGATGCAAGCCCCTTCCACTTGCACCAACATTGGTTGGTGAAGCATTTTCTTTTGTGATTGTAGAGAACTAATTCTTAGTGCTGTCTCAAGATTTTGCTCAAATAAGATCACTATTATGATCTACATGCATTTTTTAAGAAATATGCTACTGTAAAATTTGTTCTTGTCCAACAAACCACATCATTTGAAAGTATAGGCTAAAAACCACGTAAAGAAACCATAAGTTCAATGCTACCGAACTAAAAAGCTGGGGACGTGTGGTCAAAAACCTCAATGGATACAGTTGTGAAAATTCTTTTCCTTGCATTTCTCTCCAAACTCCATTTTAAAAGATTGGAATCCCGTCTTTTCTTGTCTCTTTTGTTCCTCTCATAGACTCACAAACTAGGCCTAATTCTGAACCATCCCAAATTTTGTCTTTTAGAGATCCAACTTTTTTTGAGACTAATGAATCGCAAAAATTAATTTTTTTTAATGTTCATATTTGGTTTTAGGATTTTTTTATTAACGTGTGTTTGGAAGGTACTTGTTAGTGTACATATCCTTATATTTGAACACTTTCTCAAATTAGTAACTCCTTTGCCAAAAAACTAACACCTGAAGCTCTCTTGCCAAGTGCTCACTAGGCATTTGTTAGCCAAATTTGAACACTGGCTGAGAGGAACTGTCTCTAAAAACATAGAATAATTTTTTTTATTAACACGATAATTTTTATTCTACACCTACTTCTACTGAATATTGAGAGGAAGGGACAGATCTAAAGGAATCAATGAGAAACTCAAAAAAAACTGAACCACTGAACCTCTATGGGAGCATATGGATGCTTGTGCACCTGCTAGTGAAATTTTTAAAAAATCCTAAAGAAGAGTGCATAAATCAAGGGATTTGATCCCTTGGTTTATACCGAAGAAGAGCTTTCATTTTCTCCTTGGTGCCCAACTAGTCTAGTAGTAATTGGTTATAGAATAATTTTGGTTAAAATACCAAAAAATTCACTATAGTTTGTTAAATGTTCAGTATAACTCCCTCTGATTTGAAAATTTATACTATAGCGTAGATTAAATTGAATCAAAATCATACGGAGCTATCGCGTAAATTTCTAAATTAGAGGGAGTTAAATTAAATATTTGATAAATCATAGGGAGTTTTTGATATTTTATCCAACAATTTTTTGTGAACCTTATACATAATATGTTAAAAGCAAGGTAAATTACATGAATCATACTTTTTTTTTTTTTTACCAAATCATAACCGTTGACTTTATCGGAGTCCTGGCCCCTTATTCGCCAAACTCTCATCTTCATATCTAAATAATAAACTTTTCAATTGCCAAAAAAAAAAAAGAGATTTAAAATCCATACAAGAGTGACTTCATCAACTAATTCTAGCCCGACCCTATTACGATTCCAAAGGACACGGATTCTTAATCCCATTGCCACAGGACAGGATGACAAAATCTAAGCCCACACGAAAAACGAGGCAGCTGGCTGACAAGGGAAAAGAGTACCCATTTCCAATGCCCATTCCGATACCTCACGAAACGACACCGTGCCGTATTAGCAAATTGGACACTCCACCCACGCCTTCCTAACAACCAGCATTTGTCAATTCCGTGGCCACCTCTCCAAAGTATAATTGTCAATTATTATTATTACTATAAATAGTAAATCGTGTATATTTACCCATGGCTTATCCGGCGCCTTTGATTCACCATTCCCCCCGGATTCTTAGCCTCCCAAGCTCCAATTCCAGTTTTATCAATACTAATTATACTGGTAAAAATAGTAGCAATAATAGTAATAATAATAATAATCATAATCAGAATAATATTAGTAATTCCTGTTCTTCTTCGCCGTATTGTTCCTGCTCTTCTTCTTCGTCGTCGTCGGCGGATAATCGGCAACGGAGTAATTCGGATTTCATCGCTTTTTCCGGTAAAGTTTATGCTTTAGTATTTGTTCATTTTTTGCTCTCGTTCATGTTCACAATTTATAACTATTTGTTTTTTGAAGCTCGTCATTCTATCTATTTTTATGGTTTTTTTTTGACGGAAATTAGTGCGGAAGTTGGAATTTATGTGGTTTAGTTCATGATACCTTTCATTTCATGCTAAAGATAGCTCAGATTTTATTTGTCTTTTGGTTAGTTTTGTTTGGTGAATTATGTGGTGTTAGAAATGAAGAGTCTTGCCTAAATTGTAGATCGAGAAAGAATGAATACATGAGAATTAAGGTGTGTTTGGATTAAGTTTGCGTGCTGTTTGTAGGCGTAGATTAGAGTCAGACAACGGAATCTTCAGATCTGTTATTTGGGAGATATCCAGCCATTTGTAACAATTTGATTGAATTTTAATTGACAGAAAGAATGAGAATTTTGTTGCCATTATTACAGTGTAGCACTTGTAATTGCACGCTACCGTTTGTTTACAGTGTTGGAAAGCAGCTAGAAAGTATCTTCAGGTTGTAACTTGGGAAGTGACTGCGTGTTGGCACATTTGTCTGTCCTAGGAATGAGACAAAGTAGTTTATCGAATATCAGGGATTATGTGCTTTGTTTTTGCTTTTGTATGATTAGTAATATATGATACCTTGAGTCTTGAGTTTCATCCTATGGCAATGGTTTAATAATTCATTAAGGTTGCTGAAAATGTGATTACATGGCTTCTGAAACCCTAAATGACTTTGGTCACATAAACATTTGGATTTTATAGTTTGGAGGGGAACATATGCATGGAGACTTGGTTTGTCGGCATGCAGAGTTTTTGTAAGAACGCGTGTTAAAACATTTCTGCGAATTTGACAATTCAATGTGACTACTTAATCTCTTTTATGACTCTAAAGTTGAAGGAAAAGTCGAATTTTGACAACCAGCTGGTACTAGATGATGTACATGTTGGTGGAAGAAGTTACATGTTTCCAAGATAAATGAGAACCCAATGTCGTTTGTCAGTCAATCACTCATTTTCCTGTGATTGTTGCTAATATTAGACACATATATTTGGCTGGTACGTAAGTTAATATCTGATGCCTATGGCATCCTTCCAAATTTAGGGATGGCCCTAACAAAGTGTCAATTATCAGTTCTACTTTTAAGGATCATCGTGTCGGGCTTAATTTTATGTAATTTGACTTGCCTAGTTACGCAGCAGCATTTCTGTTAAATGGCTTGCTAAAGCATTCATAATTTTAACAAACAAATTGCACTTTCTGTTTGTTACACTAAATGTGTGATTATACAGTTCTTAGGCATGGTAATTGAAGAAAAGATCTGAGGGACTTGCACCTTTGCAGAGTAGGTTAAGCATCTGATCTGGTGCAACAAGTTGTGTTTTGCAACGGAGGTAATTCTGAGCAACACTAGAAGGCTAGTTAATAAGATGGTTGGAGTTCATAGTTGTAGAGACTATTGGGTTTAAGATAATTAAAGAGGACAGTGGTAATAATATGTGCACATTCTTTACACATACAACTTAAACACAAAAATACTATATTTTGTCTGAATTTATTTTTTTCTTATTTGACCAACAAGACTTGGGACTAAGGCTTCCTAGGCATTGTATGTAGGCTCTTACTTCCAGGGAGGTTGTGCCTTGCCTTGCCACATAAAAACTTCTCTCTCTCTTGGCTAATAGTGAGCTCAACACTTTTTATGGAAGCAGTTATGTACATTCAATGCAGTAAAGTATTGAACCCATTTTCCAAAAGTTACTTTCTAGAAAAGTGATAGTTCGAGTAAGTTTCTTTCATTAGTATTATCTTTGAAAATAAGTGAAATCATCTGAGCTGAACCATTACTACAGTCTTTCCTAAGCATGCAGAATTTCAAGAATTTGTCCTGTCGCCTTTGATATTTATGTTGTCCATTCAGTATTAGATAATTGGTCTGGACCACATTGTGGTTTAAATTTGAGGACTTTGTGCATCTTTGATCTGCTTTTGATGCTTAGACTTTATAGATTTTCCATTCCTAAATTTACAAGTGATGCAAACATCATATAGTGGAAATATTTTCTTCTTATTAATCTTGGAGTTACCTTTCCATAAG